ATCTGGCAGAGTAACTATTACACAAAAGACTACATACAGATAATTTATCTGAAATCGTTATTTAATGACAGACTATAGCATTATACACTTTAGATTACAGAACAAAGCAATGTTAGCGGTGTACCTGCATGGCTTTGACCAACAGATGTCGTTTAGCGTGCTGTCACTCTTGCGTTGCGCATGCAAGGCGGGGCATAGAGGACCTACAATAATGTACAGTATTTGAAAAATAATGTGTTTTTTGAACATTAAAGCATGTCAACATATTCTGTTACACCAAATACACAAAATAATGATCTTTAAAATAGCATCATATGACCCCTTTAATGAAAGAAAATGTTTTCATTCTTTAAATACATTAAGCTATTTTTTGCAGCATTAACATTAATTAATCAATACTGACAATTGACATCCCTAAATATGATCATCACCACATCACTTTAAGAACATTCTGCAATCTACTGTAGCTGCCAGTGGGAAGAGGTTTTAACTCTCAGTTTCCCTGATTCTCTAATCATCTGAAGACTGTGAAGAGAACAGTAGGAGAGCCACTGAGTAAACAACACTGGTGAGTGGAAAAGCACACACACACACACACATCCGCACAAACCTCTTCCTGGAGCACAGGTTCAGCAGAGGAGAGGCGAGGGTTTGTCCAGATGACCCTAAAAACACAAATGACAGAAAGAGTGATCACATCTTCACACTGATCCTCTGTCTCACTCTTTTGCAACACGTCTCTATTAATAAAATCAACAGACGTACCCTTGTGACTGACAATGACGTCATAGATCCCCTGGAGTGTTTGCGTGAGGTTTCTGCTCTGTACAATTCTCCCCTCCTCGTCTCCCTCTCTGTTTTCTGACTGTGGACTCGAGTGAGTCAGGCGCTGGTCTGTAATGTGCAGAACACACATCCTCTTACACACACTGACTATTGTCTTATTACACGTACATGATACACACATTTGAAAAATGTGCAGCCATCAACTCACGGACTATTCAATGCACATTTAGTAAAGGACTGTAATCTGTAAGTCTCTCATAGTCTCATAGGGACTGTAAGTCTCTCATAGTCTGTCATCTTTATTTTAAGTGCAATAATCGGAATGCACTTAAATACACTTTTTCCATGAACTCAATGGGACACAGTAGCTTGTACGTGCCAGCTATGCTAGCCGTTAACCACATGTCCTCTTCTGCCCTTCTCACTAATGCTGAGTGGAAATAGAATTGAGGTGGTTTTGGGAGCTGCTCCACAGCTACAGCCCGCTGAGCGTGAAGGAGGGAGAGGAGAGGAGGAATAGTTGATGCCATGTTCTTCATCAAGAAACCGCCCCAGGTCACAAAAAGCGCTATAAACAGACTGTCCCACTTAATGTAAATGTACTTTGGTAGCACTAGTACATACGGTTAGGTTAAGGTGAGCCTTCCTGACAAACAAATACACTTCAGCCAAAAGCTTAAAATGAATAATATTAAATAAGTCATTTCATGAGGGATTAATTGCTGGATATTTTTAAGAGTTTAAAAAAAGTACCATTTATTAAACTAAGATAAAATGACTTGATTTGTACTTCTGCAACTCGAATACATAATGGCCATCCATCCATTTTCCAAAGATACTGGCAAGCATCTAGGGCCACAGGCAGGGAAACACCTTAGACAGATGGACATGGTGCATAGTTTTATCTATTTGGTATTCAGAAACTTCTAAATACTTTTTAACAAGTTCTCTGAAGTCTGATCTTTACACAATTTGACCTGCACATTTCACACAGAATCTGTTACTGAAAGATAAAGGGAACCCTAATGAAAAAGAAGTATACTTCAGCATACTTCAGGAGTAATTATTACAGAAATAATATACTTTAAAGGAATATACTTAAGTGCAAACTGAATGCAATGTTTTCTGACACTTCATTGTGTTCCTTTCAATTAAATTAATATGTATTATAGTTTAAATGTATTAAACGTGTTAAATGTAACTTTAGAGTGCTTCTTTGGCCCACTTAGATAAGACTTATGTATATAAATATGTTAAACTAAAAATACTTAATTTAATTAAGTAATTAAATACTTAAGTAATTTCTATTTTTGTACGTCATGTAATCAAATATATATTTGTAATCACAAATATGTAATGATGAAGTTGCATTTCAGTACATTTTAAGAATATATAACTGTAATATCAAATAACACATTACAGTTAAAATTATAATCAACTACTTTAAATGTGCCTTCTGTTAGTCAACACATCAAATTAAGTGTACTTCTTTAAAGCACAACAAAAGATTATTAAAACTGTGAGTTCAAATGTACTTCAAAGTAAAATTTGAAAGCTGAAGTACACTACATGTGGACATTCGATACAATTAAGCGCACTTCTTTATCACAAGTGAACTATGTTGGACAGCAAACTCGCAGTTTGTGAGTAAAAGTCCAGCATGTGCATGTTGCAGATGTGAAGAGTCTTAAAGGGGTCATGAATTGAGAAATCATCTTTTACTTGAGCTTTTGATATATAAGAGATCATAGTACTAAAAGAATATCCTGCTAGTTTCAGAACTCAAAACATCCTTGTTATTGAAATTTAATTTTTCAATATTGAAAAATTGCTTTTATTGACACCAGGCCCAGTGAACGCCAGATCCTGGAAAGTGCATATGAATGACGTAATAAATAGGTGAAACACCGCCTCCACACTATTGCTTTGTTTGAGATCGCTTGATAGGTCCTGATTATGTGTACACATCTAACAAAAGTCACAAAAGGCTCCAACTATGAAAGACGTAGCTTGTCAAACTGACATAGAAAGTTAGCTTACTATGCAAAACTGTTATCCAATCACAGCAGTGGGGGCATTTACACTTCCAAGTTTTCAATGCGGCACGCCCATAAAAACCTATTGCTTAATGATTTTGATGTTTTTGAATCTAAAAACCAGGCGAACGTCATAAGTGGACCTCAGACAACAATATAAAATAATAAAAAAAGCCAGTTCATGACCCCTTTAAAGACACAGCAGCCTACACAATTAATAAGAGTCAAAGTAGATTGAAATATAATAATTTTTTCAGGTCATCTATCCCTTTAAGAGCTAAGAACAATGTGACACCACACACACACACACACACACATTTTACAGCTATACACACTGCTGGACCTGACTTAGTGCTGGTGTCTTCAAGATCCCCTTTCTGGCTGCTCCCTCTATCTTCTTCGTTTTCTTCCTCTCGCTCGGTCACCTCCTCCCTCAGGAGCAATGCCTGTCTGTCTCTCATTTTCTCATAGTTTCTCACCAGAAAGATGCCATGTTCCAAGACAAAGCTCCTATCAGTGGAATAAGAGCAAATCAAAGATGCAAGCACAAATGTAAGGAGTATAAGGTAATGAGAAATATGAGTGTACAAGTAAGAGAAGAGCATAAACATAAAGAGGGTGAGCTATGCTATTGGGCATAGAAATGCTATTGTTGGTGTTTATGTGTGTTCTTGCCTCTCCTCACAAGACAAGGGCATCATCAGGAGAGGGGAGGGGATATTTTCAGCATCATTGCCTTTCTCCTGCAGATAAAGTCATTCGCAAAGTGACCAAACTGACCATGTGTTTTAAACTAATTCACAATGATGCAGTCACTTTCAGGCATGTTGTAATGGAATTAGTAGTGAAGTCTAAACATGCTTTATACCTGCTGTTTGGGAGGGTCAGGTTGATTGGGAAGATTATTATCAATGTCTGTTTCACTCATTTCTTTTTCAACCTCTTCTGTATTAGGTCTAGCACTGACATTCCTAAAATACGGGAAAAAATGTTATGGGATAGCATAAAATCAGTTTTGGACTAAACAATTGAAACCAAGTGGCCAAACAGCCTGAGAGAATTTATCTCCACTTTAAATTCAGCAATAAATGGGGAATGTGCTTGTGTATGTGTGTGTTTATTTACCTATTAAGGCTTTCAGAAACGCAGTCATGAGTCACACTGAGCTTCTGATGTTTACAGGAACTGTCTTCGGTCTGAGTGCGAGACATTACATCAACAGATCCATCTCAAAGAGACAGAGCAAGAGACAAAGAAGAATATGTTTACACAATATGAATTGCTTCTACACACTTACTTCAGAGAACAAAGCCATTTTAAACGTAATATTACACAGTAGTCAGTGCCAGTCATCAGATTTCATTGGCCAAGTGGCAGTTCAAGAGCTTCACATTTTGTATTGATTATTTTTTTGTGTTTGCATTGCTCCAGACATATGGAAGCCCATTTCTGCCACATAAGAAAAAAATGCTTTGGAAAATTATTATGCCACAAAAAAAATAATAATTATGAGGGAAGAAAAAAGTACAAATTATGAGATATACTGTAAAGTCATAATTATGAAATAAAATGATAAAATTATGAAAAAGTCATAATTATGTATAAAAAAATAATCTAAATTCATCGTCATAATTGACACAGTAAATTATCATACTTTTGTCACCTTTTATATCATAATAATAACTTTTAAACTTATGATTTGTCAATTTGTCGATTTTGTTTTTATGCCGATCATAATTTACCATAGCATGATTTTTTTTTGTTATGTGGCCGGCTTTCAGAAACGCAGTCATGAGTCACACTGAGCTTCTGATGTTTACAGGAACTGTCTTCGGTCTGAGTGCGAGACATTACATCAACAGATCCATCTCAAAGAGACAGAGCAAGAGACAAAGAAGAATATGTTTACACAATATGAATTGCTTCTACACACTTACTTCAGAGAACAAAGCCATTTTAAACGTAATATTACACAGTAGTCAGTGCCAGTCATCAGATTTCATTGGCCAAGTGGCAGTTCAAGAGCTTCACATTTTGTATTGATTATTTTTTTGTGTTTGCATTGCTCCAGACATATGGAAGCCCATTTCTGCCACATAAGAAAAAAATGCTTTGGAAAATTATTATGCCACAAAAAAAAGAATAATTATGAGGGAAGAAAAAAGTACAAATTATGAGATATACTGTAAAGTCATAATTATGAAATAAAATGATAAAATTATGAAAAAGTCATAATTATGTATAAAAAAAAAAATCTAAATTCATCGTCATAATTGACAGTAAATTATCATACTTTTGTCAACTTTTATATCATAATAATAACTTTTAAACTTATGATTTGTCAATTTGTCGATTTAGTTTTTATGCCAATCATAATTTACCATAGCATGATTTTTTTTGTTATGTGGCACAAATAGACTTCCATACAGACCTGTGACTGAAATTGTTTATTTATTGATTTAGGCCTTTCTTATACCTACATACACAAACACAGACACATGCAAATACACACAAACACGCTTACACAAATTAGCAGGTAAGTCTACTCACTGGATGGGGCCGTCTTTCGTGGGGTCTTTCGTGACTTTTTAGGACGCTGTATTGGAACAGAGATTGTCATAATTATTGTACGACAGTGATAAAATGGAAATATTTGAAGGGATAGTTCACTCAAAAATTTACATTTTCATCAATTACTCATCCTAATGTCATTCAAAACCTCCAACAACCGATGACCCATGACCCAGTGATCACTGGTTCTCACATGTCTTGTTACCAATTGTGACGGACCATTTTTGAATGTGCACAATAGTGAATGAAATTCAAGATCTACACTGAAGGATTTTCAGCAAATAATTTAGACTTAAGGTTCCTCGCACATAATTATCGCACTTCATAGCTCAGGTAGATTTTTGTCTAATTAAGTGTACATAAGTGTATTTATGGAAAAGGGAAGTTTGACAAAATTCCACCTTTTCTATTGCAGAACAAAGACATACAGGTTTATGGAATGACATGAGGGCCAACAAATAATGACAGACCATTCATGTTTTATGTTTTTTTAAATAATTAAAAAAATACCTTTTCCTGTGCACAGAGTCGATATATGTCATAGGGCAACTGAAAGTCAATCCGTTTCAGCCTCAGATACTTTCCTGTCACACACACAGGTTATGAATGTATTGAAATTCTTCTCTTTATCGCTCCCTCTATTTTAAACTATTCTGAGAGGTGTAAAAATGACGTTCACACTAATGACATACATATCTGCACACTTAAACTTAGAGAATAGAAAGATTGCAAATTACTGAGGAGTTCAAAAGCTCTAGGTTGGTAAGATTTTTTTTGTTTTTGAAAAAAGTATCTTATGCTCACCAAGGCTGCATTAATTTGAGCAACAACAAAAAAACAGTAAAAATAATAATTTTGTGAAATATTATTACAATATAAAATAACTGTTTTTATATTTTTAATATAGTTTAAAATGTATTTCATTTCTGTGATGCAAAGTTGAATTTTCAGTTGTCATTACTCAATAATCATAATACATTACATGATCCTTCAGAAATCATTGTTATACTGATTTGATGCTAAAGTAACAATTTCTTTTTTACCGTGAATGTAAGGTTATCTAGAAATGTCAGCTCAATTAATATTAATTGATTATTATTTATTTATTATTACTCATCATTATTCATTAGCAAAGTCATTGTCATGCCATGACATCATAATAAGCTTTTCAGTGGCCCCTCCCACTTCAAATGCCACTTGTGTGTTTGAACCAAGAAATCAAGTTTGGACTTAATTCCAGCTCATTATTGACTGACAGAGAACACTTTTTCCACTTTTTTAGTTCAACTTTTACAGTGACCTCCAAATGACCCCAATAAACACACACACATACACAAACTTACCTACGTGTATAGGTGCAGGAAGTAGACCGTGCTCATGTTCTTCAGGATCATAGTCAAGGCAGTCTGTGTGTACTGGAGAGGACAGACTCGTGGGGCTGTGGGGACTAAACAAACAGACAGAGGATTTGTCAAGAGCTCTCTAAATAAAGGCTGCATTTAAACAAATATTCTTAATACTTGTTTATAAGTATGTAAGAGCTCCCTCACTTCTCGCTTTTATACGCATCCGAGTAAAGCCCCGCCCACTCATATTTCTTTTCAGTTGCCACATCAGACCTCTTCTCTGATTGGCTGTTTACAGACACTGCTAGATCCTGGGAAGGTGAGGATGTGTCGATGTGCGATTGTGAGGGCTCTTGGCTCAGAGCGGAGTCTTTTCCTTCATCTACCTGCCCGTCATTGCTCTTTGTTTCATCTCTTTTTTTCTTTCTTTTCCTTTTCTCATGTTGACCCATGGACTCAGTCGCATTGAGTACTGTACAGTCATCTCCTTTTTTACGTTTCACAGGACACTCCGTGGTTTCATGATGTAAAGGTGTGGCAGGTAAAGGTGGAGAAAAGCATGGTGCAGGGTTTTTCCTTGGTCGACCTCGTCCTCTCCTCTTCACCTCACTTCCTGTGACCTCTTGACCTTTGGGATTCTTTTTCTTGGGAGGCTTTTGGACATGTTTCAGTTTACTCTTGTTTGGAATTGTATTTTTAGTTTTATTTAAATGAGAAAGGCTGACTTTGGTGGCAGTACAAGAGGAAAAAGGCCTGATATCGTTGGTCTGAAAGTGTGTTCTGCTGATGTTGGGTCTTTTCTCTTTTCCTCCTCTCTCTTGTCCTTCATTAAGAGAGGGACTGGCATGCGGATAGTGCTCAGAGAAGAGTGAACCACCAGGCTGGAAACTCTCTGAAATAGAAAAGTAAAGATGTAAGCAATCACATGGGGGAAATTCACTAAGGATTAACTGCACCCACTGATGGCATCTTTAATTTGCACACATTGTCTACACTAGAACCAGTTTCACCGAAGGAATTATGTAAATCAGGTAATACCCAAATGACCAAATAGCTGTGCTGAATGTAACTTCCATGATGCAATTCCCATGGATTTCAGGTCAGTTCTGAGTGCTAAGTTGTGATGGATGGAGCACACTGCAATCTTGCAAATTTTACAAGGACTGTACAGCATCACTTCTCAAATGGGATTTAGATTCCTGAATTGGATTTTTAAAACCGGCAGAATTTCACAAATAACATCTACAATGAGAACCTGTTACATAGAAAGGAATAAAATAAATAAATAAATGCAGTATGTGAATAAAGGCCCATTCACACTATAAAGATAAATATGACGATAACTGCATTTGCATCCACACCAACCAACGATAACACTGTTTATTATTTTTTATTTATTAAGCGTCATTCACTTTAAATGCTTGCACTGTTTAAAGTTGGGTGGATTCTGATTGGCTGTCAATGTTTTTATCATTCATCATCTATTAAAGTGATTCTAACAATTTAATTCCTCTGTCTCATTAACATGACAGCTGTGGTATGGACTTTCCTATTCTCATAGAATTAGAGTGATTATTAAAACAATAGGTGCATGTGAGACAAATACTAATATTTAAAACTTTTTGAACTGCCAACTGTCTGGCCATCTGTCATACATGTCTCTCTCACACACATATACACACACAACACATATACACACACACACACCCACACACACACACACACACACACACACACACACACACACACACACACACACACCAATCGTTTCACTTCAGAAGACACTGACCATCCGCTTGCATTATGTAGACTCACAGAGATGCACAAGTCTTCCACTGTGTATGCATACATTTATATATTATATACATTTAATTAATAGAATTCTAAAGTAATCAGAAATAAACATGGAAAAATAACTATTTGAATAAAATGAACATCTTTCTTTTAAATATTTTGTTAGTGTCATGGGTTTTGGTGCATATAGAGCACAGGCACAGTTTGAGAGTCACTAATTTAGTGCATTCACCCCCCCAGTGTTCAATCAAGTTCAGATTTCATCCAGTCTGCCCACATCCCCACTGCAAAATTATATTTCCATTGCAATACCAAGCAAGAACGTTTGATCAACCTTGGACACCGTCTAAACACAGCATACAGAGGAACTGTAATTACAATTATACCACAATGATTGCAATTACTGTTGGTACAAATGACAATTACAGTGACGGAATTAAAAGAAGGAAAGTGTCCATCCTGTTTCCGAAGAAGAGCAAAACATGAAGCACCTTTCTAACTAAACCAGTACTAAAACTTGGAGAACCTGTGAGACAGCACTATTGCTCATGAAAGTGTTGAAAACCGTGGGAATTACACTGCCAGTATTCACTCCTTTACTGCAAATTCCACTCTCCTCCACCAGTACTGCTAATTTAGATACAGCACTAAATCAATTTCACAGAGCCCTACTGGAGTGCATTCCACAGCGAGCCATACCCTGGGTCTCCAGCACAGCGATCGTGAGATGACGAAAGGGTGTGTTCTTGAACGGACTTTATTATAGTGATAAATAACACATTTGACAATATATAAAGACAGGCAGTGAGAATAAAAGCTGTATAATACGGTTAACATCACATCGCTGTTATCCCTCTAAAAATTCTCTGAGAGACAAAAAGGAAAGAAGAAAGAAAGTCACAAAAAGATAGAAAGATTAAAGAAAATGGCCTATGTAGTTGTTTCCACAAGCATCTACAAAGGAGCTATTTCTGGTCTCTGGATGACAGCCAAACCTAGACTACAAAAAACGTCCATCAGCTCTGAATGGAAGTGTGTGGACACATTAACATCTGATATATCAGATATACTCTGTTTTAATAACATTTTGAGGCAGAGTAAATACACAAGAGTGGCATTTTTAGGGAACATCTGGCTCTGATTACAAAACGTGTTATTGCCATTTATTCGCTTGCGCTTAAAAAAACATTCCTTGCTTTCCCCTATTATTTCTGTCAATCATTTTTCACATTTCACTTGTAGATTTCCATGCTCAGATTTCGTCCTTTCCACTAGCATCACCACATTTCCTTACCGCTGCTGAATGCCTGCTTTTTTCTTATTCACCCTTTCCAAATCAAACAGACTGCTTTGGCCACAGGCTGACAGAAGGTCTATGGCAGAGTCTTAAATGGAAATTCTTTGGCAGGAACATGACAGAATAAGCATATAATTCATAACGGTTAAATGTATAGCAGAAATCTGGGTAGTTCCCTTTTACAGAAATACTCAAATGTCAAGTATTAAAAATAAAGCTTGTTTACACTTATAAATAAGCACTTTTATACCTCACTGAAATGTAAAAGCAATTTTGATACCCTATCTGAATCCATGCCCACTGAAAATACAGAGTCAGCATGACAAAAAAAGAACCAGTGCAAGAACTAGGCTGCTCAGTGATACAGACTATGAAAATCCCTGTAGTACCTTAGTTTATATCAAGGCATTTATATCCAGAAAGTGTTGATTTTGTGTGCTAGACTAGTGAGTGAAATTAAATAAAAGCAAAGTGGTTCTAATGAGGCAATTCATGATCTAAACCTAAAATCTAAGATTATGTTAACACTATTCTTTTACTTCCTTGCAAGAACTGGTATTTCCTTAAGGAAATCAGGAAAAACAAAACTTGTTTGTTGAGAATCGGCTCCATGATTGGCAGTTTGCCTTTTTTGGCGTTAATAGGCAGGAGTGACACAGACTTCTGAAATGAGAAGAAAAACCCCTCTCTGGGTTTGGTTTTTAGTACTATGAAAATTCATGTTCCAGATTAATTTTTCCTTGACAGTTAGGGACTATCAACAAGCAACCAGTAACAAAATACTTGTTACTCACAGATCATCATTTCAAGTTAACTTCGATTCAGATGTGACCGAAAGTGGAGATGTCCAAGTAAATGAGCTTTTAACTTTGTAATTAGCACATCGATATGCATTAGTTTGACTCATTGAGTCCAATTCACAGACTGGATGCAAACATGATAGGCAGGCACTCCCGCTTAGAGTAATTAGCCAATCATAGTGATGATAATGACAAGCAGGAATCATCCAATTGACAAGGTTATCAGTCATTCACGGTGACATGAAGACATCGCTTCCTCATTTCGCCTGTATTTTGCACCTCAGTGATGTGAACATGATGAGCTCAAGGACTGCAAAAAATATTGCTGCACTCTGAAGGCTGTTCGAGAGTATTGCTTTAGAAAAATGAATGCTACTTTCTCTTACAATTTTTGTGTGTGTCTAGCTCTTCCTCAGAAAAAGTGCCCCTGATGGGCAGGTATAGACACACACTACACAACACCAAATGTCCCAGTCTTCCTGGTGTGAGAAGTTCTTCGCATGCTGGTATTTATTTCTTACCATACGCTTTCAGCAATGCTAATTAGCCAAATATGCATTTCTTTTTATTGTAAAGGTGTGTATTTGCAGAGAAAAGACTTAAGCACTGATTCACACTTTGTTTCATGTCAAATACAATTATCAGTGGTAAAAACAAATATCAAATTCTACTCAACTTGGCAATAAATCACATTTTCCACCGGCGCTACTGTGGACTGTGAGCCACAGTCACATGATAGTATGAGATAACATACACAGAGACATTAAAAACACACACATTTTGCAGTTCCCTCACACATCACTCCATCTACAACTATCTAAGAGTACATAACACAAAACAAGTGCATAATGATAGCAACATCAATGCCAGAATACCACATAATGTGTAGAGCTAATGCGTCACAATATTTACACACAAGAGAGACCATATACCTCTCAGTGGACTGCTAAACAGATTCCCTGCCAAGGAAAATCTGTGCAGTCAATTACATGCAGAGCAAAATCGAGCTCCATTTTGGCACCTAACTAGTAAAACAGCGGGAGATAAATAAGACCATAGACTCTCAATCCTGTAATAAAATAGTCTTATTTCACTCTTCAAAGTCTGTAATTATTTCTACAAGCATTCCAAGCATTTTCTCACCTAGTTAATAGGAACAAAAGGATACTGAATGTTACAACTGAACTTTTAAATATCAAACACTGAAAATTATTTTTAGATTGCACCCTTAAAAAATAATATGTTCTGTAGAATGTCACCTGAGCAGTGATGGTTGTTTGTTACATGCAAACAAAAAATAATCTCATGCCATCTCACCTGATGTTCTTATGCCTCCAGCTGAGCAATCCTTCATCAATGAGCCTCCAGGTCTCATTAAGTTCCTTGAAGCAGACTGAACTTCACCAACACTCATTTGAGCGGTCATTCGACTGTACGCACTACTAGCAAGGTTGGGGTTCTTCAGGAAACTGTGATGATGGATGGCTCTATCTGCTAGGGGAGGTGATGGCAGGTCTTCATCACCTTCATCATCGTCCTCCTGGTACCCTGACCCAGCTTCTTGGTTTAAAACCCTGTTCCCCGGCTCTACCTGTGTGCTCTCTCTCCACCTCCATGGCTGCTGATGTTCTGCCCACCTAACTTTTGATATCGGTCTCAGATGTGCAAGTCCTATATATGAAAGTGGTGAAGTTTTGTGTTTGTCTGCTTGTTTTGAGGGTGTTGAGGAAGAGCAGGGAGGATTTGAGGGTGGACCCCTTCTGAAATGGTCTTTTCTGAGCTTACTTTGTCCTAGTAAACCCTCTATTCCGTCTCTTTCTCGAAGTCTATCATCCACAAACCTTTTATCTCTAGCCTGCTCTCCGTTGTCTTCTCGTTGCCAGCTATTTCTATTGAACCAGTCAGGCGAATGAGATGTTACATTAGCATAGGTCCCCTGTGGCATCCCGCCACAAAGTAGAGAATCACGTCTCAAAAACTTGTGCTTCCTTTTATGGAACTTTGATGGGCTTAAAATGGGATTTTTGGAGTAGGGGTGCACATAAGAAGGTAAAAAGGGTGACGAAGGGTATATAGTTGCAGATGGAGGGTATCCTCTATAAAGTCCAAAACCAAATGAAGTAGTAGAGAGTGGCATTTTGTATGGCGAGTGGTAACAACCACCTCCTGACAGTGGGAAGCCAAGTTTGTGCACTACTGGGCAATGTGTGACAATATGTTCACCTGGTTGTGAGGGACACCCATTGTTCCTCTTAAAATCTGCCATTCCAACATAATGCAGAGAGTCACGAGAAAAGTCTGACTGAGGTGAGTAGTAACCACTGAAGTTGATTTGAAACATAGCTGGATGATGAAGGTTTTGTGGTAGACACTGAAGAACGTGAGGATGAGCTTTTCCTTTCCCACTCTTCCTTCCAGATTTTGCTTCATCCCCACACCCTCGTGATGAGATATGATGCACAATACGAATCTCACTAAGTCTGACCACTAATTCCTCAATCTCTGCCAGAAAGGCTGGGTCTTGCCTTTTGGCCCTGAGTTGAAGATACTTTTTCTTACATTTGTGTTTATGTCTCCTAAACTTATCATGGCTAAAACAATTATGACCTTTTTTTTGGCACTTGTATTTGAGTCTTTCTTTTTCCATTAATACTGATCGTCCAAGGTGTGTAGTTTTGCGGTCTTGAATCCTTACAGAGCCTAACTGGGATGTGGCTGAAGGGGATGGTGAAGACTGCGAGGAAGAAGGAAGTTTCGATTTCTCTTCGTGCACTGCTTTAACCCTTTGGGAACTGGTTACCTTTGGAGCAGAACGTTGATCATATTCACGGTTGCCAAGATGAAGCTTTCTTCGTAAAGAAGGGGACGAAGTGGGCGAAGGGGACACAAGATGTTTAAAAGAATAAGGAGAGCTTCCCAAAGCAGACTGGCCATCAAATGAATGGCTATGTTCATCAGAGGTGGACCAAGAGTTCAACTGATTAGAAGATTCTGCCAAGACTTGCTGAGAATTTTGACCCAGAACTTGTTCAGAGTCTTGGCCAGAAGTTTCTCTTTGAGTTTTAGGTTTACGACCTCTCCTTTTTCCTATGTAGATAGTCCCACGTTTGCTGATATTAATTTGTGAACCAAATTTTCCTCCAAAAGAGGTAACAAATGAGGATAAAGTGTGTGTTCCATCTGAAACTGAACAATCAGCATCACCTTCATTGTCTTTCTGAACAAAATCAGATTTGTAGCTTTGGCTTTGCCCTGAAAGAAACTGTGTGAGTACTTTATCCTTCTTCTTCACTCTCATCTTATTGATATTTGTGATAATTGTCTTCATTATCAACCTATTTCGTTTGCGGCTGATTTGAGCATCTCTAGCTTTAGACAAAGAGGGTTTGAGTTTTCCTGCAGCACCCTTCTTCCCAGATGTTGAGTCTAGTGATTTAGATCTCTTTTTCTGAACAGTGGAGGAACATTTGGGATGACCTAGTGTTTTGGGAGTTGGCTTTGGGAGTTTCAGGCCATTCTCTGGATCAGGGACATTTGCATCTTCAAGTATGGGGAATTTAGTCGATGACTTTTGAGACTTACTTTCCTGAGGAGTCTTTTCCAACTTGGTCATTTTTGGACGACCCCTTTTCTTAGGAGGGGGCTCAAAGGAAAATGTTTCTGATCTGGGTGATGCATTTTGTAGTTGTTTAGATTTAGGAGGTTGTCCAGCTTGTCTTGATTGCAATGATAACGCCTTTGACGACTTAATGGAAGGAATTTTTTTAAGGTTCGATTTTTGTGGTATCTTTTTACAGGCAGTTGAACTAACATTGGCGATCTTCACCAGATCCATCTTCTCGCCTGGATTTTCCATCTTTGTCATCTGAACAGCTTTTTGTTTCTTCTGTGATATGATGTTTTGTTTTGGATGTAAAGGTAGCTCATCACTTGGAACGGAACTGTTAAACTGAGAATCTGCACACCCAGAGGGCTGAGAGGAACACTGAACATCTTCGTCTTGGTTTGAACTATGCCTAGCTCTTTTCTTATTCTTGTCAGTGATTTGCCCCACCCTGCTGCCATCTTTTGGCTGGACAGCAACAGCTTGGGTAGGTTCCATAGTCATCTTTCTGGAGTCATCTATGACTTCACTTTCATTATACTTATTCCTTCCTCTGCTCCCCAGTAACTCTGGCATACAAGTGCTGTTCTCAGGAGTTGCTGATTCAGCAGATTTATCTGAAGCAGTAAGGAGCAATGGTGTCTTGATAGAGGGACTTTGCTGATGCAATAAACCATTTTCCTTACTCCTACTGATAGTTATGGTGCTACTCACATTTTTGGAACATGCAGAATCTCTATATTCTTTCTCTGTTGCATTTAAAACCTTATCAACATTACTTTCCTTGATTCTACTTTTTTCTGGAGGGCTGGGAGTTTGCTTTTCTAAATTCTCACTACATGATATTGGAAACGATGTGCTTTCACTGTCATTTTCAATACTGGAAGAAGACTGCTGAGATGTCTGAGCATTTAGCATCATACCATTTGAACCATGTGAACTGAGGGAGGAGGTCATTGCTTCTCCAGTTGGGAGATTTTCACCTTTCTCTTTTTGAGCATTTAAAACTTGGGTGCTGTCTTGTGGACTGGAGTTCTGTTGTAAAGAGGAAGGTGGAGAAGGGGCAGCTGGAGGTGAATATGTCTGCTTCAGCAATGTAGAGGAGGTTATCTTATCTGAAAGTGGTACTTTGCTATCTGTCTGTGGTTGAACTGCATACGAAGGTCCATCTGATGTTAATAATGACTTTGAGTCAGTCTTCCTCATGTGTTTTGATGGAGCCTGTTGGAAGAGAGGACATGTGCTGACCAGAATTCATCAGGAAATATTTGAAGATATTCAGTCACTCAGGTCATTCAAGGATATCCGGTCAAATTAAATTAAAACCAGTCTGGAGTAGCTATAAATTTGAGGAAATTTGACAGGCTTCATTAGATGATGACTTTGACAGACTTTGACTTAATTTCACTGACATTTTATAATAACACATCACTAAGAGTCATGGTAGAAAAGGTTTTTATTTAATTTTTTTATTTAATACTCTTTTTGTGTAACCACTCCATGGTACTATGATCTGAGGATTTTAGAAGAATCTGTGTGAATGAGACAGAAGGACATGGCACATGACATTTGAGCAAAAATAAAACAAATGGGAGTAATACATTTAGCTTTAGACTTTCCAGTAACTGTTTGCAGGTCATAAGAACCAACAAAAATGAATAACAGAGTGCAGATAAAGGACCTCCAACTACATATTTTTCAGTGTATGGGAGAGGGAGACAAAAAGAGTGAGAACGACAGTAAAAAATAAAAATAAAAATAAAAAAATAAAAAGAACAAGATCTGGGTGAGCAAAAAAGACAGAGACAACGTGATAAAATGAGGGGATGTAAAAATAGATAAAAAAATGTCTAACCACTGGTGGCTAAAAATGGAAAGATACAGACAAAAATGGTAACAAGCATTTGCCACTATATATAAACTAGGGGAAAAAATGAAAGCAATAAAGAAAAGAACTGAGAAAGACTTACCTTTTTAGAGGCTGTAATGACTGGTTTAGAGTCAGCTTTTTTGGATGATGTGGGAAGTGGGACACTCAGCCTGGTAGATGATTTTGGAGAAATGCAATCGGTCCTATCTTTTTTCTGAATCCCGCGATGTGACTGCTTGGCCACTCTGATATCAGGACTGGAGACTTCACCTCCACATGAACTATGTCCATCTCCATGTGCAAGCCTCTGAGAGATTCTGATTGTGGGCCTACATATGAAGTTCTCAAGGCTCTTTGGGGGCTTCTTTGTCCGTTTCGCTCCAACCCCAATTTTCATTCTTAAATTTCCATCTGACTGGTCGGACTTTGTATCTGTTAACTCCCTCAGACTAGTCTGCTGCTGCTTAACGTCACTGGTAACACTCTTTGAGGAAGCTTCTGCTTCAGCCTCTTTGAGTTTTCTCATCTTCTTCCTGTCTTCTGTTGTCTTTTGCCTTTTCTTATCCATTTGAACTTTCAGAGTAGTAGATGCAAATGGGAGAAGTACTTTGATGGTCAAAGTTTTGTAAATAATTAATGTTCAGCTTATGAGGAAACGTTATGCTTTTCAGTCTTATTTAATACTCTTCTATCATCTCACTTGACTTGAGAGAGTAATAAGGACATGGTACCATGGAAGGGGCTATAAAAAAGTAAAAACAAGAAAGAGAAGAACATTAGTCACAGTTTACTCACAGTGTATCACATAATATGTGACATTTTCATAGGAAAACCTCACCACATAATGAGAAGATTAGATATGCAGGCAGTACACCAGAAAATGCTACATATTTCAACATTTACCCAGATCAAAACACATCTCTTGTTAAAAAAGCCTGCAACTTTATACTCAACTGTCCAGTTACCTGAGCTATTGCTGACTACCAGTTCAAATACTTAGTGCTCAATTTAGAGGCATGGATTATCAAAGCATGTGCAGCTGGCTCTGAACAGGCCGATTCAGATGCTAATGGAATTTGTTATTGAGTAGCTGACAAGAAATACTTTTAGAAAGTAGACGTCCTGCAGTGTGACATGTTATACTCTATCTTTAAAACATAAAATTCAATTGTCACAATGCAAGATTACTGAACTAAAAGAGTAATTATTTTGGATTAATCTGTTCGGCATGTTTTCAACTATATTTGATTGCAACTAAATTCAAAAATGTGTACTGTCATGTAAAATATTTATAATAAATATTTGCAAATTTAGCATTAAACTATGACTTGGTACAAGCTGCAACAGCTTTTTGGTCTGCAGCAGTGGTTCTCAAAAGGGGTCAGGACCCTCTAGAGGGCTTCAGCAAACTCTAAGGAGGCCGCAGGATGACTTAAAACAATTCAAAATTAAAATGAGCTAAAACAACTAAAATATTATTAAAATATTAAGATATTTCGTATTTTACTTAACCCATTTTCTTTTCTTTGAAGAATCAGGGTTCCCACAGTCTTGATAATCATGGATACATGATGAAACTTAATTTTTTAAACTTTTTTTCTCTTAACTCTAAAGCTTAAAAATTTCTAAAACTTTTTGAATCCTGCCATTTAATTTACAGAAACTAGGAGTCTCGGGCCTTCCAATATTGTTGTGAACAATGGGAGGCCTTGGAGTCAAAAAGGTTGAGAAGCACTGCTGTACTGTATGGTTAATCAACAGATTGCATTAAGGTGATAAAAATGGTAACAATCTTAAAGGAAACGTTTGTTAAAACCATGCAGTTAATAAAAATGAGGTGCATCAACTAACTTATTGCTACAATTTTGACAATACTTTTCAACTGGAACCTTTTACTTTTAATGTAGAAGGGAGGAACGTCTTGTTACTACTTTTAACAGAGTCGAAATGCAGTGAACTCTCTGCTCCCCAAAGACATGCACATTTTCAGCTTGATTGTGGTTTCTCTATTTGTTTCCAAATTTGGTGTAATAGAAGGGCAGCATGGTGAGTGATGACGCAATAGAAATGAAGACTTCATCTTTAAAAAATCCAGATAGCTTTATCTAACAAAGTATAGTTCTTAAATCTAAAGAATCAATTACAATTATTTGAACCCTAAAGGAAGCTTTACAGTAACTGTGAAGAGAAGTAGGTTAGCCAGGTGGTGTCTACTTTCAAGTTAACTCTTAACCTACAATACAAATCTTTTAACCTACATAATAAGGTACATGAAGAGCACGAAACATCTTAATCTCCTATAGACCAGTTCCCTCGGGACATACCCACATAAAAATCCCCAGCAACTGCGAAAGGCTGGCTGAAACTCTGTTTTGAGTTGTCTGAAAGGCAGGTGCTTTCCCACACAGAGTGAGTTCATTCTATGGAAGATTCTGCACGATGACCTCAGTGCGTTAACTTGCACAGGGGACCCATAAAATCAGGCGGCTGACCTCCAGGCTGAAGGGAGGAACATGCTAATAAAGCCCACCATCGGTAGCCTGAGCCATCTGTGGGTTTTCGCCTGGACTCTGTCAAAGAACTTCCGATAACTTTCTATTCACTCATACAGTCTCCCCTAACCATAAGGTAAAGTTTCCCACCCTGATCTCCCGTCGTGAATCATTTTGTGAAGTGCTTTAGCAACTGTTTCTAGCTAGTAAAAGTAACACATATTGCGGGTTGTTTCAGTCTCACAGTTTACTCACAGTGTATCACATAATATGTGACATTTTCATAGGAAAACCTCACCACATAATGAGAAGATTAGATATGCAGGCAGTACACCAGAAAATGCTACATATTTCAACATTTACCCAGATCAAAACACATCTCTTGTTAAAAAAGCCTGCAACTTTATACTCAACTGTCCAGTTACCTGAGCTATTGCTGACTACCAGTTCAAATACTTAGTGCTCAATTTAGAGGCATGGATTATCAAAGCATGTGCAGCTGGCTCTGAACAGGCCGATTCAGATGCTAATGGAATTTGTTATTGAGTAGCTGACAAGAAATACTTTTAGAAAGTAGACGTCCTGCAGTGTGACATGTTATACTCTATCTTTAAAACATAAAATTCAATTGTCACAATGCAAGATTACTGAACTAAAAGAGTAATTATTTTGGATTAATCTGTTCGGCATGTTTTCAACTATATTTGATTGCAACTAAATTCAAAAATGTGTACTGTCATGTAAAATATTTATAATAAATATTTGCAAATTTAGCATTAAACTATGACTTGGTACAAGCTGCAACAGCTTTTTGGTCTGCAGCAGTGGTTCTCAAAAGGGGTCAGGACCCTCTAGAGGGCTTCAGCAAACTCTAAGGAGGCCGCAGGATGACTTAAAACAATTCAAAATTAAAATGAGCTAAAACAACTAAAATATTATTAAAATATTAAGATATTTCGTATTTTACTTAACCCATTTTCTTTTCTTTGAAGAATCAGGGTTCCCACAGTCTTGATAATCATGGATACATGATGAAACTTAATTTTTTTAACTTTTTTTCTCTTAACTCTAAAGCTTAAAAATTTCTAAAACTTTTTGAATCCTGCCATTTAATTTACAGAAACTAGGAGTCTCGGGCCTTCCAATATTGTTGTGAACAATGGGAGGCCTTGGAGTCAAAAAGGTTGAGAAGCACTGCTGTACTGTATGGTTAATCAACAGATTGCATTAAGGTGATAAAAATGGTAACAATCTTAAAGGAAACGTTTGTTAAAACCATGCAGTTAATAAAAATGAGGTGCATCAACTAACTTATTGCTACAATTTTGACAATACTTTTCAACTGGAACCTTTTACTTTTAATGTAGAAGGGAGGAACGTCTTGTTACTACTTTTAACAGAGTCGAAATGCAGTGAACTCTCTGCTCCCCAAAGACATGCACATTTTCAGCTTGATTGTGGTTTCTCTATTTGTTTCCAAATTTGGTGTAATAGAAGGGCAGCATGGTGAGTGATGACGCAATAGAAATGAAGACTTCATCTTTAAAAAATCCAGATAGCTTTATCTAACAAAGTATAGTTCTTAAATCTAAAGAATCAATTACAATTATTTGAACCCTAAAGGAAGCTTTACAGTAACTGTGAAGAGAAGTAGGTTAGCCAGGTGGTGTCTACTTTCAAGTTAACTCTTAACCTACAATACAAATCTTTTAACCTACATAATAAGGTACATGAAGAGCACGAAACATCTTAATCTCCTATAGACCAGTTCCCTCGGGACATACCCACATAAAAATCCCCAGCAACTGCGAAAGGCTGGCTGAAACTCTGTTTTGAGTTGTCTGAAAGGCAGGTGCTTTCCCACACAGAGTGAGGTCATTCTATGGAAGATTCTGCACGATGACCTCAGAGCGTTAACTTGCACAGGGGACCCATAAAATCAGGCGGCTGACCTCCAGGCTGAAGGGAGGAACATGCTAATAAAGCCCACCATCGGTAGCCTGAGCCATCTGTGGGTTTTCGCCTGGACTCTGTCAAAGAACTTCCAATAACTTTCTATTCACTCATACAGTCTCCCCTAACCATAAGGTAAAGTTTCCCACCCTGATCTCCCGTCATGAATCATTTTGTGAAGTGCTTTAGCAACTGTTTCTAGCTAGTAAAAGTAACACATATTGCGGGTTGTTTCAGTCTTTGCTAATTCTTATAAAGAAGACAAAATCCAGCAACGTTTCACTTGCTAAGCGCAATCTTCTCAGCTCCTCCTTTAGGATTTGGTGCTAAGAAAACAATCCCAATGGAACGCTTGAAAAGAAAAATGGCCCGAGGAGAGGAGAGAGAGCAAAGTACAATGATGTGTGTGTGTAGAGAGCAGAAGAGGGAGCTCTGTGGCTATTAGTAGCACAGTTCAGAAGCAATGTGAGAAGGACGTTTGAGGGTCTTTCTCTCCCTGGGACATAAGCCTACTTTTAAACATTTACCATAATTATTCATTTTCTTGTACTGCTTCAACGTTCCCTCTATCAGCAGGTTTCTATCCCTTCATTATCTTCATTTTTCATGTACTTCCATTTAATTTAGGCTACTTGTGTTCATAATTTTTCCTTTCAGTATATAATTAGCTCTCTCTTTTACACTATATTTCCTAAGCATTTCCAAAGCAGACCACACTGAGCGGTTAAATATGTCACTGTTTCCCCATAAATCAAAACCATATGCTCTTCCTTAAAAATCTGTTTTGGTGTTGCTGATACAAATCTTTGCAAACACGCGAAAATCTCATAACAGAAAATCACTGTTCTTGTCATCTAGAAATATTCTGCATTTTCCTTTCTTTCTTCCCCTCCCATTTCCCCACATTTTTCTTTACAGTGTCAGTTTTATTGATCTTTACCCAATGCATTCTCAATCCGGCCCTTCAGCGTCAAGTGCAATGAGTCTCCAGGAAGTTATTAGGTTTCACTATGTTTCAGTTTGTGTATGTTATCTCATTACAAACGGTTATCTTATACTGTTCAACCCAATGGGGTCTTCTGTCCTGTTATGTACATTGAGACAGCAATAGGCAGGTTAACACCAGCGTTTGTCAGTTAAGCAGACCTGCTAAGCTCTTCCTCTGTTTCACTTGTCAAGCTGATTCAGTCCAATATTGTTAATCGGTGCAATGTGAAAGTAGCATACAATAGTCTGAAGTGCACTAGAGTAGCAAAACAAGATGACATCACTGAGCACTGCCCTTCATTCCGCAAAGCTTTTCTCCCTGACAGGACTTAAGGGTTCTCTGGGCAAACTCAGAGAATCGACCGCAAATCCATCTGCCAAATGTGAAAACACAAAATGGGGATAAAGCTGTTTCAATTCTACAGGCTCCTCTGTGACCTAGATATAGCCAGGTGCTCCAAAAATAGCAGAAAACCAGAGCATTATATGAAAATATGACAGAGGCATGGAGAAATAATTAGGAGTCTATGACAATAATGTTTTAGTTGGCAGACAAGCACAGTATGTCAATGCAGAGTGAATAGGTCTTGATTGATGAAACATAATAAGTAGGATGTAACAAGTTACTGTTCCCCTAGCTATAGCCTAGGTAGAATTTGAAGAAACTGTTTTTTTAATCTCTAGTGAAAAGGTGTGAAATGTCAATCCTGTTATCTACAGAGCGAATGCAGAATCGATATAAAAGTTGTCGGGAAAGTGGCACAAATCGAATAGGGAGACCGCGACCCAGCTTTCTAATCTATTATCGCCTATTTCGAGCTGTTTACTGCGTTATTATTTGAAAAGCTCAAATAGTATGCGATACTGCACGTTGTTTGTTTACGATAAAAAAAAGTGTCGTTGCGTATTCATGCGCGAGGCCCTAACAGATGAATGCCCCGTTTCAAATTACATTTTTATCAAGCAACGGGAGCAGTACACTCCGAAATATGTGCTGTAAAACTCGTCGGAGATTTGAGAAAACAACAACAACAACCCATGAAAAATGACTTACCCGAGCTGCAAAGAGGACGTATCGCAAGAAAAGGAGCAGCTAATTTACAAGTGTGCGCAACGAGCTGAAACGATAAATGGAGAGATGTTGCGTGTCCATTGCGCGAAGCGAAGGACCCATGAAGATGAACATTGTGCAACACCACACGATACTCACGTCCCCCCTTCTTCTTCTCTTCGCCCCCCTGTTTCTATTCGTCTCTTGCGCAGTTGTTTTACATCAAAAGCATGGTCGTACATTGTGTACCCAATAGCCACAACCCAAGTTCACCGATGAGGGGAGACAGAGGAGAGCGATGACCATGCTGTATATGTTCGGTTACTGAGCTGATGCCTGCAACTTGAGCTAAATTTACCCACCAATAACACGAGATGTTCGCAAGTGTGTGTTAGAAAATGACATCGAATAATCTAACCCGAGATGGCCGACTTTGAAATGATGAGCAATGATGTAATTGAATTGTGGGCCAACCTGCGTCGTTCAGTTTAAAGATAAAAGGTTATTGTTTATTGAGTTGTTAATATTTTGGAATTTATCAAGATGTGATTGACTATTATCCAGGCAAATCATCACTGGAAATCTCGCACTCTGACTGTTTGTTCTCAAATTACCATGAAATCTATTGCCAACATCTATTTTTTGTCTTTTCTTTACTTGCATTACGTTGTATTACAATATGAAACATAATATTAAACGGCATAACTGCGCACTTACTGCCAGTGATCTATAGGTGGTAACATAATTCAGTTCATAGATACTTACAAACTATTTAAAAAATGCTAAATACATGCAAGTAATGTACATGTTAGACTAAGAATATGGTAGGAATTAAATTCATACAATAATCTACGAAATCTGAAAAGGATTTGCAACCAAGAGCCTACAATAACAAAGGTGCAATTTGTGCTTTATGCAGGCCTATCGACAAATTATTGTTTATTAGCCAGGTTTAGGTGAGTCTCAGCTGAAACTCAAAAGTAGAAAGCATAGAGGGTGCTATATTTAAACTACAAACGTGTTGGTGTGAATGATATCAATCATTTCTCTCTTTGAGAGTGCCAACTGTTAGCATTCCAATTCATCTCAGTATTTTACTGACTTGCAAAAATACAAAACAATTATGCAGGTTTTGAGTCACACTTGCTTTGACAAATATTACATTTTCCTAATAACAAAAAACAGATCAATAATATATACTTATCTGTTTGAAATGTCATCTTCATTTGAGTAAAGTAAAAGTGTTGATAGATTAATTTAAAAGTCACAAATGTAATTTTGAAACTCAGAAATGACATCATGCAAAAGGGAGAAGAACAAGGACATAAAAAAATTAATGGTGTCTCTTTTAGAATTACAAAAAGAGCAATTGTAATCTACATCCAAGTGAAAGTGCTATTGTTTCTTTCTCATGATACCTTCTGCGAGCAATTTTAAAGGACACCTATTTAGTTTATTTTGTGTCAGAGTAACAATTATTTTTATTTATTTATTTTTATTCAAACACTTTTCATTTTAAGAGTAGAGAGAGATATTAACAAAGTGAGATCTAATCATTTGATTACTGCACGTTATAAATCACATCAATTTGACCCGAAAACAACTGTTTAGATAGGCCTATCTTTTAATACCTACAACAATATGCCAAGTGCATTGATTTTTTTAAACAAAAATGTAACTCACAACAATACAATTTCAGTGGAAGTTGTTTACCTGCTGTATTTGGAGGCTGCCATCTTTGCTCTGAAAATACTTCCAAAGTCACTTTGCAGGTCTCCGAGCAACACACAATGATTCGTTCCTGAATAAATCAGTGTTTCTGAATGAATCATTCGAATGAATGAAACAATGACTCATTCATAATGCACAAAAAGACAGTCAATTGTGGTCACCTACTGGTGTACTAGCTAAAGAAAGGTTCACTAAACTGCACCAATATAGCAGAAATTGACAACAGTGCAACTTAATTGTAAATTATGCAGAATGAAAATATAAAAACAAGTGATATTTACCTAATTTTTTCTTTATTTTGAAATGTACCTCAGGGGAGCATTAATAGGCCTACTTACGCCAAACTATTGCACTTTATGTAAATTGGTTCGTGTCTTTTTTTTCCGTTGTATTTTTTAAAAGTCTTATTTACTTTATTGTATTTTTGCTATTGTTATAGCCTACGTTTGTTCCTTTGACACCAGGAGCAGTGCTCCAAATGTCGTCGTATACAATGAACGCTTTTAATTTTAAATTTCGACCAAAGTAATGGGGCAAATGGTTTATTTATATCTTTTTTGATATATTGTCGTAGTTTTGTGTGTTAATGTAATGTAATGCAATATGAAGTAATTTATATGTAACTTAATTTAATTTAAGACTGAATGGGTCTGGGTACAACAACAAAGAATAAAAAGTATCGAAGCTTACAAAGACACTGTAAAGAAAGTTTGCAAGACAGTTTTAATGTGACACCTAAAGGGGTTAAAAATTAATTATATATATATAGAGAGAGAGAGAGAGAGAGAGAGAGAGAGAGAGAGAGAGAGATGAAGTATAAGAGTTATCAACTAGCAGAGGCTAACAGGTCATGGTGATCACAGATTACGTATTTCGTATTAATTTAATATGAAACATAATTTATATTTAACGCTAACCAGCCAAGCAATTGACCTTTTGGACAAAAGTCTTTTACGTAATGACGTAACTTCCGGCGTCTGTTGCAACAATAATGGCGACCTCCATCGGCCGTGGCTCGTGACAGTACGACCCGTTCGCATCAACCAGCAATACGTGGTTATCGCTGTACATGTAACCCTTGAATGACAAGTTGTTTTCTACGTTATCTGTCGACTTTTTCTCTAGGGGTAAGTTAATGTCTTAATGCGTTTTTTGTGCTTACCTCATGCACTTTCATGCTTTCAGCCAGCTTGTCTCTCGCAAGGTGACAGACATCATGATCCCAGACTCTCTCTCTGAGATTAACATTATAAAAAGGCATTTCCTTTAATTTAGGAAATATATCACTGTCCATAAGTAGACACGTGCATAACAAGCTATCAGTTTAACAGTTTTAATGTGAGCATAGTTTGGTCAACTTGATTGTTACATTAAGAGAACCTCTTTGGCCAAATGTACAAATTGCTTTACTTTTGTTTCAGAACATGAATCTGCACAAACTGTCCTCGCGACTGTACCCAACAGTAAGTGTCATTTCATATATTATTTAATATTTTTATATAAAGTATATTACAGTTAAGAACACTTTACAGGATATAACGCTCATAACCATTATTTATGTCATTATCAGGCAACCCAGAAGTTCAGGCATCTCCACATTCAAAGCAGTGGCCAGCAGCTGGAGGCAGTTGCTGTGGAAACAGCATCAGCTGAACCAAATCCGCTGTCAGTCTTCAGAACTTCAGAGCAAGATCCAGTACGTCCTAAAAATAGAAACTGTGTAGTGTCTTATATAGACGTTTATCAGTAGCTTTCAAATTGACCTATTCATGAAGTTGACCTTAAAGGGGTAAGTCACCACTTGCAAGATGGGTTTTTATAAATCTTGATTCTCTGTGCAGTATGAGCATGAAAAATGTCTGTGGTACATGACTAGAGAAGACAAAGAAAAGGGTCTGTGGCGTTCCATTTTTCCAATAAACTTTAAGACCTATAATGCATTTTTGATTTAATTTTGACAACATCCCTCTGTCAATCGGACTGTCCATGGTCAGAATACAAAAATGAGGAAGTTTGATCTGTATTTTCAACATTCCCTGGAGATGTCAAAAGTCCACCGGTTGATGCAAAATGAAGGATTTTGTGTGATCCAGCAGACTTTTACTAAATAATACATACGTTCATACATGAAATAAATAAATTAATTGCTTGGTAATTGACCTATTATTTAAATATTTACTTGCTGAGCTGCCCCTTGAAACTGCATGTAAAATATGTTCTGGAAAGGAGCCTGGCACGAGCTTTGGTATCCTGGAGCGTTTCTCACATCTTCATCTTAGCATCTCACTGAACCACCGACTGGGCGGGTCACATGGAGTGTGGCCTTTTAAAGCCTGCAGAGATTCACGCCTCTCAAGATGGGTTCGTCCAATGAGGAAGGCTGAAATCCCAAGCGGGAGGTTGGAAATACTGGGGATTTTTATGACTCTTTGTCTGTAAGCATGGTATTTTGCATATGTAATTCGCTGGAGTGTTGAGGCACAAATTAGTACCGATTCTTAGAACATCAATATGTTGCATTGGTATCAGCATATAATATACACACTTGTTTCGATCATAGGAAGGCGAATTCATAGATACTAGACATGAAATAGTTACTTATATGAATGAGTGGTTTATCGTAAGCATGAATAAAAATAGTCTATAATACAACAGATTAAATACAACACAGCAATAATATACACACTGGCCTGAAGAAAATGGGTGTTCATTCAAAGAAGGTTTTCCTATGAATTAATTAGTAGAAAAGTCCATTTCTCCTGTGCATTTGTGTCCCTTTGTTTCTGGAGAATGCAGCTAAGTAGTCGGCTCGCATTCCACAAGGTTGTAAATGTATCGGGTTACCATGAAACCAGGGTCTTGTTCTGGCGTCCTGGGGTGTTACAAAGTATTTGTGAAATCTAGCTAACAAAATATATATTGTGTGTTGGAGTGGTCCAGACGCTACACATATTACATTCTTATTACATTCAATCCTTGCTCTTTCCTTTCTCAGACATACCATTCAGAAGGACATTCTGGGCAGTATTACATGCTCCCACCGGCTCACATTCAAAAACTCTTCCCTTATGGACTGCCTCCACGCTTTCAGTTGCAGGTTTGGGAACAGTACTGTAGTATATGTGTGTGGAGCATATTTGCATTGATTTAATATAGTCCAAATAGAAATGCCATTGTCATGATTTGTGGCTGAAGTTGCATGGACAGCTAATGCATGTTTGTGCTCTTGTTTCAGATTAAAACGTTTAATGAAGGCTGTGTGATGGTGAGGCCGCCGGCGCTGGAGCTTATCTCATATCTTAAAAGAGCTGATTACAGCAAGCCTCCCCTGCGTTATGTACTCTGTATCCTCAAATACAAAAATCCAATCCAGTGAGCTCTTTTACTTTGTGCATGTTTTTCCACACTGATATTTCACAAATTCCTTGACAATGTGCTTTAGATGGAGATATTGGCACTGGAAAGACCATGTCTTTGTGTCACGCCCTGCATTACTGCTACACTCAGGGCTGGCTTATCGTGCACATACCCGATGGTGAGCTCCGCTGACCCTCATTCAATCAAAATGTATGGTGATGTGACGTTTGGTGTCTGATGTTGCTATGATGTTTTTTTTATAGCTCATCTGTGGATCAAGAACTG